ACTCCGGATTCGGTGGGAAGAGATTTTCCTTTTGAAATCTTGGGGGCAGCTTGGCTTGTCCAGTAATCACATCGAGGCTCAGTATGCCTGTCTTATGCGTCAAGAGACGCATGCGAGCAACCTCATCACAACCTCAACTCCCAGTTCAACCAATAACTCGACGAGATTGATACGAGTTGGTGGCCTCCACTCAAGCTTGCAGTTCAGATGACCAAACAGAAGACCAGGAGTAAGTCACCTATGTCATAGTCCCTCTACCTGGAGTGAAAGCCCGTGTTCTCTTTGCCACTACCGTACACTACTTAAGGGCCATTCCCCCTCTTCTTTTTACTCCCAACTTTCTCTTCTATCACAATCAAAATATCAACAGCTCAGTCTGTAGCCTCAACCATCTATCATCCTGTTTTATCTCTCCAAAATGTCTTATTCACACCAGTCTTCGAGCTTTGGAGCTGAGTCTCTAGTTGACTTGGCTCAGAATGTACTCAAGTACCTCTCATCTTCTGTTCATAAGACAGAGGCCACTACCATCGATGGAACTGTCTACCCACTCGATGCCTTTTCTCTTGACCATCGCCACAACCTGTTCTACTTTCCTCCCGGCGAGACTCAAGTAGAGGTCTCTCTACTAAGCTGGTCTGCATACAAAGGCCTAAATGAGGTCATTTATGCACTTATGGGCATTTCAAATCAAAGTGAACAGCTTCAAGATCATCTTGATGATGCTCTCTTCTTGGCCCACTTTGCCGGCCACAAAAACACAGCTGATTTGCTCATGGACTTTGGAGCAAATCCAGGACGAAAGTTTCGATCTAATGGCTTGCATGGTGCCGTTAGACGACGACAAATACCTCAAATCAAACTATACATCAAAGAATTCGGAGTTCCTGTTGATGTTGAAGATGGGGATTCTGCAACGCCGGTCATGTATGCCATGCAGCTTGAGCATCCGTCTGATTTGGAGACTATCTCGCTTCTTTTTTCATTGGGCGCGGATCCTCGGCTTGAATTTGGTGATGAGGGTTGGAATTATGCCCAATATGCATTGGCTATGGAGAAAAGGGATCTGGCAGAATGGTTAGAAGTAAAACGGCATGAAGCAGAAGCAAAAGCAAAGTTTACTGCACGAACTACTTCAAGTCGCGAATCAAGTCGCACGATTGGCCGGGACTTGTGGCATGTTTCAGACATTACCTTCCTTTGCTAGGTAGCTATGACTTATCTACTATCAATTTACAAGGTGGCTTGTATTCGAAAATATATATCCCAAGGAGTACTTCTTGTTTACGATGAAACATTCGCAACACTAGTCATCTACTTCATAGACCTGGATTCTCCGCATGTTTGGCATACTATCTACTATCTCTTCTATAAGCCATGAGGCTTAACTCATTGCTATGACCGAAACTATTGAGTGTCTCTTTAGCTTGGGAGCACTTCCTATTGTTGAACGGGGTGGCGATGGAAAGAAGGATCTAGCGTGGCGACTTAAAGCAGCAGCAGTAGTACTTGATTCACCTGTTCGGAATTCAAGCCGTACATCAAGCTGCACGGTTATGGAGGATCTATCCTGGGCTAATGGTAGATAAGTTTCTTATATTGATATGTGTGTTGGCGTAAGCCAACCAAAGAATTACATTGCCTCTTTTGATCATCAGCCTCTTTTCTATTCGTCATTGGCTCTCCACTAATGGTAATGCTAGTGCCCGCATTCCGTGCTAAGACGCGTTGACCAATAATGCAAGCCGCATTCCACGATTTAGAAGACCTGGTACTTCATTCTAGCTCAGAATCCGAGTCAGTTTCAGACTCAGTGTCAGTTTCAGGTCTTGCCCCAGCATTAAGTTAAGGATAATATCTAAAGGGCTATTTATAGCCTTCTCCAGCCGCGGCACCCAGGTCTCGTTGGCGCCTCCGCACTTTGAGGAGAAGAGAGCCTCAGAGCCCGTCTGCTTCTACTTTTTATAGAGCCTAGCCCTCTTACCTATACTATCATATATATCTTGGTTAAAATCCTCTTCGGTGAGATAAAGGTTATCGTCTACCACAGTTGAGATCCACCCCCCGTCCCGATAAAAGACAAGCCCATATACGCCGCAATCCTCATCACGAGCGACACAAATCTTTTCCATTAGTTGCTTTCGAAGGCGTACAGATGCCAACGCTGCAAGCCACCAGCAGTTTCCACAGGTTCCCTGCTTGATATCCGAGATGAAGTCATTAGCAACAAATTTGGGGTTTTCAAAAATCCACGGTATACGATGAACCGAGCCTGGTTTTGCGCATTGTTCCTCGTCATCATCGTCACAGGCTTTTTCAATGCCGAATAGGCAATTGTAGTCGTAGCTGGCGAAATCCTGCTCAATATCAAATTCGGGGTCACTGAATTTGATATTAGTTCGCTCGCACTCTTTGATGATAGCCTAAACATCAGATCGGCATTTGTTGGCGGGCATTAAGCACTATACGTTTCTTCAAGCCTTTGACGACAGGCTAGGATTGTTGTCGTCTGACTATCTCGCGTTAAGTTGAAGACGTTTCTTATTGAGGTTGATTTCAAGGTTGCCAGATCGGTCCGGCGCTCTGATGGCTGGGCTTCTTCGTAACTCAAGGCTTTGGGCGTAGGAGAAGGTAATTCGCTGGCTGCGAGTGACTCGTAAAGTATGGGAGGCAATACAGAAATGACTTTACGTGGAGGTTGAGAATGATAATCGGACCAAAATTTAGAAACAAGACTCTGAGGGCTGATTGGTTCTAGCTCTACCTGCCTACTGTTACGTTGGACAGAGAGAGAGATAATTGGGGTGTTCATGTCATTACTCGGCATGCCTATATCATTCAGTTGAGAATGGGAAAACACAAAGGGTTTGAGGAGGTTTGAGTGATAATTAGCGTGTCGCGATAGGGTTGGGATCCTAAAAGCACGAGCCATATGCCTCGTGCTAGAAAGATGGTCAATTGATCCAGATGGTAGTTGCGTCAGCCACTGGCTAAAAACCCTGAAGAATTTTAAGGCCAGAAGTGGGAGGTGACGGCTGAGTGATTCTCCAAAACCAGCATTCTGTTCGCAGTGTCCAAACACAATTTTCTGTATTCAAGTACTTGTTCTGCCCTTCTGAACCGCCTAAGATTGTTTATTACTCTTGGCAGATGGCCTACCCTATAGCTCTCAAGACTCAGCGACCCCTACCAGAAAATTGTGTATGTATCACGCCAGATTAGTTGGACGTAGAGACGCCCTAGCCATGAGCCCAAGGAAAAAGAGCGGTAATAATGGGAAGGCAGGCTCTATTGGGTTAGCTAGGTCGTATTGCTTTCTTAATCTTGAGTGATTATTCAGGAAGGCAGAGTTGGCAACTGCTGCGTGGAACAATTTTCTGAAACCAGCATTCTGTCGACAGTGTCAGAACACTGTTTCTTGAATGCAACTTTGGTCGTTTTGCCATTTCAGACCGCCTGTGATTACCCACTTGATAAGTCTCTCTCACCAAAATTTGGGCCGGAGAACCCCGTTAGCGTGATTTTGCCTTGAATTTGACCTATGCCCCAGCCATCAGAGCGCCGGACCGATCTGGCGACCCTAAAATCAACCTCAATAAGAAACGTCTTCAACTCGACGCGGGATAGTCAGACGACAACAATCCTAGCCTGTCGTCAAAGGCTTGAAGAAACGTATAGTACTTAAAGCCCTTCTTCCCTTGGTAATCTATGTACCGCAAAGATAACGGCGTGATCGTAGGTGGTCAGTCAGTGTAATGTCACTGTATGTTGACATGGTCGCACTGTATGCTCTGGAGCTCTTCCTTCTGTTGGCGCTAGGAAAGTTTGTTGGCTGCGGCCTCCCCACCATCATTCAATCGAACTCGCCCGCATCGAGGAACGCTCATGTGAAATATCCGTTCATCACATCCAGGATGGTTTCGTGTGGATTCTCAAATTAGAAGTCACATAAGAGCTCATTGATCTTTGCACATTTCAGACTCATGGACATAGAGGAGATAGCGTGCACTACGTGCAAAGTAA